ACGAGAAGATGCTGGTTAGAGATTTGGATTTGGATTTTATTCAATTTGTAGGCCGCCCTATTCCCCGAAGGGACTCAGGGCGGCTGAACAAAAGCCAAGGGAGGGGAAATTGCAAAAAGTAAGACAAAGACTATCAGGCAATACGAACAATTTAAAAGCACAACAGACACAGCAAATTCAAGTAGGCGGGGGGAAACTCAACCCCAGGCTTGCTGGGACAGCCAGGTCTTCACGGCCATCCGGAAGGCCCAAAGAGTGGAGAGGGTCCGAATCTCCACGGGGAGCTCGTTCCAAAGGGCCGGGGCAGCCACAGAGAAGGCCCTCCTCCGAGTTGAAGAAAAATGTGAGGAATCTTACTCCTTACCATGATTTCAGAATGCTCTCCGTCTTCTGGGTCACATATAGGGGGCATATTTTGTTACTTGAGAGAGGAGTACCCACAAGGAGAGTTCAGATAAGTCAAGATGATGGCCAAGATCTTGATTTTATTAACCCCCTCCCCACAATGCCCCTGGCTTGAAGTGATGGCCCATGTATAGAGTCTGATTGGCAGTTAAATCAGCAAATGGGTACTATCTGATCAGGAATACAGAACAATTGCCTTTGTTTTTTTCCTTCCCAACATTTTATATGACCGACTGCCAACCATCTCCATTTGAGGCAATCATTCCGCTGCCTGCTAATAGTGCTGGCACAATTTTGCGTTCTTTGAAACAGCTTTACAGAAAATGGATGTTAATGCTGGGACAGAGGAATAAAGTTGGCCCTTGTTTAGAAATTTTCTATTACATGGATAGTCCTAATCAGTTCTGCTCCTCTTCTTTTACATTTAATGGACTCAATATGCTTTTGTAACTCCAAACCCACAACCCAAAGTTTCTTTGACCTTATCATACATCCAGCAGTGGGAGCCCATCTGTCCATAACATCAGCCTAGGAAACTATAAAATATAATTGCATTGACTGGATATTTTATACAGAATCCAAAAACAGAAATATAACAATTTTATTTTTTCTCAATGGGCTCATAATTTCACAGCTTTGTTATTTTATTTTTCTTTATGCTGGCATATGACATATCTGCCTTTTTTTTGCCCTTTCTCTAGCTCAGCTTTAGTGCTGTGTAGATGGATATATGAAAAATAAGACTGTAAACATACCTATGTCACACAGTGGTCCAGAAAATTTTTCAGGGCAGCTGCAGACCAAGTTCTGACCCAGCTGTATGCACTGACCTCCATTCAGACAGGGGTTGCTTCTGCAGGCTGTGGGCCCCAAAAGAGAAAGATACAGAAGCAGCTGTCATGCCAGCTCAAACAATGGGAGGCTCACATTTGGTAGCTTGTGTTGACTTACCACCTGGATGATCTCCAACGAGCCCACCTTCCTTGGGGCCTCCCAGGGCCTCTGCCACTCCTGATTTGATTTATTTTATTTCATTACTTTTTATTTTATATTAAAATAATAAAATATTATTTTAAAAACTGGGGGTAACTAGCATTATAAAGCAAGGCAACACTTTGTACTTCCAATATGTCTTTGGCTCACCTAGACATTTGAAATTTCTTTCAAAATTATTTAAAGGTGTGGCTTTCTCTCATGCTGCCCAGGAAAAAAAAAGACAAAATTAAACTGAGGTGGTAGAGAACTTCTAGGGGAGCATGCTTATGTTGAAGCTTAATTTGTTATGCAAACCCAGCATGTTTGCCTAATTTAGATGTGTGTGTGCGTGTGTGTATGTATTTCAGGTTAGTTCAGTCATGGGATTCAAATTTTTTTACTACCGGTTCTGTGGGTGTTGCTTGGTAGGCGTGGCAGAGGAAAGTTACTGCAAAAATCCCCATTTCCTCCCGATCAGTTGGTACTCGGGAAGCAGAGAATAGATGAAGATGGTGCCAGTCAGAGGTGGTTTTTACTGGTTCTCTGAACTACTCAAAATTTCTGCTACTGCTTCTCTAGAACTGGTCAGAACCTGCTGAATAACACCTCTGGGTCAGTCTAATCTGATAGATAGATGATAGATAGATAGATAGATAGATAGATAGATAGATAGATAGATAGATAGATAGATAGAGATAGAGATAGAGATAGAGATAGAGATAGAGATAGAGATAGAGATAGAGATAGAGATAGAGATA